ATTCATCATTCCCAATACAATTAATATTATAAAATTCATATATTACCCTAATTATATTTACTACCTATAATCATGCTTTTAGTGAACTCGAATAATGATTTTTACGACGAAAGTAGAAAAAAAAAATGGAGCATTAGGAGTTTTCTATAGGGAAAAAAAAAAACATTTTGTCAACGGTCGTAAACATATATGTTTTCTTTCGGGTGTGTTAATCTGACTTTTTTCGTAAGCTCGTAGCTTTTGGATTGGATTACCTTTTGTCCAACTATACATTCAACAAGTACATAATTATAGTCACAGTTCACAGAGAGCAATAAGATTGGAGGGTCAAAAGATAGAAACTCTGGAAGTAGAGGAAAATGGTGAAGTCGTCTCATCTAAAAAGTCAATGATCTCAACTTGGTCAACATGCTCTTCCCTTGCTTAAGTTTAGGCCTCCATCTAAAATTATGTGAATTTGTTAGTAGAAAGTAGAAACTAACTCACGCACCTATTTTATAGCTTAACTAAATCTGACTGTAAATGAATTTGAGCATTAGCAAGAATTGCACCACTTAATTATCAAAAAAAGAAAGAAAGAATTGCACCTAAACGAAGGATTTGTGAGCAGGTGTCAAAAAGAAGTCGATCATATAAAGTAGCCAAAGGTTTTGATATAATGTAGCCGTTAAAACTATGTAGACAGTCTATATGAATTAATGACCTTAAATCCTCTCAGAGGAAACTTTGGTCTCAAAACCAGCCAAGTAATCCTCCATACAAGCTCTATAAGTATCCATACCAAAAACCTTCTCTGCGATTTCCAAACCGACGCTCAACCATTTTTTAGCACTCTCAAACTGTCCCAACCTCACGGGCAATGCTGCTCTGTTCCAAGCTGTCATTGCAAGCCATTTCCCTTCTTCAGCCGGGTATTCCCCTTCCTTTAACCCAACCATGATTCTGTATGCTTCTTTATACATCCTTTGAATCGCATCTTCATCGTCTGTGTCTCCTTTGTGGACGCTGGATAGGGCGATCAGCTTCCTGATTATGAGAGCTATGGTTCGGTAATCTGGTGCAGCAGACGCAGTCAGGGCAGAAAGGCATTCGTTAAGAGCAAATGTTGACACATCCGGGTTAGACCGTGGGCTTTGAGAGGCGAAAATTCCAAGTTGGAGAAGATAGTTGTAGTCACAAGACTTGGAACCAGCAAACGTCTTTACCACAAGTAGCTGGACTGCTGAATTATTGAGCCTTCCGTGTATGTCATAGGCATTTAAGGTGTACATGAACACGAGTTCTGGCTCCATGATACAATCTTTACCGTCTGAGAGCGAAGAAGAAATTATCTGCATTCAACCAAAAATCAGTGAACTGAAAGGTAAAAACTCAGCAAGTAATGGTGCTACTCTTAACAAAAAGAAGGAATAGAGGAGGATAAGACCTTTCCAGCTCTCACGAGCAACTCTGCAGCAAGTTTCACTTGGGTTTCAGTCATTGTGCTCTTGTTTTGCTTTTCCAAAGCAATCATAGCGGTGACGCTCAATATTAGGGACCTGCAAATCATCATTGTGCTTTCTCCAGACTCACCAATATCCATAAAGCCGTAAAATTCTGATGCCAGCCTCAAGAATTCACCACAGAGCTCAAACTTGTTTGCTTTCCCACATCTTGACCCAAGATTCCAGGAAGTCACAGCGAACCAGTTCGTCTCTCGCTTTCCCGTCTCACCTGACCCAAAGAAACACTCTGTCCCAAGCTTAGATGCCCTGCCGTGAGCTTGCAACATAAAGTTAAGGGCTTCGGTTTCACTGCCAATGTCTTGAGTCAGTATAGTGACTAATGTACGGAACACCACAACCTCTGTGGTTGGCATGGTTTTTCCTGAGATATAGAAACTGAGAAACTTGGAAAGACAAGCGACAGCAACTGGAAGCGCTTGGCAAGAAATAGCTTCATGTGCTGAAAGGGACAGAAAATCTGGAGAAAAGTCAAGACTGGATGTCATTGCATCGATCTGACCAATGGCACAAGTGTGATCCTTCTTTTGCAGGTAGATCTTCAACTGCAAGAATCGGAAGCAAAGTGAAGTTACTTATAAGGTTTTTGTCACACAATCACCAGACATCTTACTGTTGACCACATAAAAAGAGCATGAGCTGAATCACTGTGAAGAAAAAGGATAGTTACCTTAAGGAAAGAGCAAGCAATATTGGGCTCAAGCTGCAGAGACAAAAACTAGTTAGCAATTCCGAGTTAAAAGTTCCAACTCGCAGGACACAGAAGTTCCACTGGTAAATGTACCTTTTCAGCTTCTTCTATGTATTCATGAGCACGATCTAGCTGAGAGAGCCCGAGATAGCAAAGACACAAAACCCTGAAACCTTTGGCCCTGAAAACTCTATTTTCGATGTCATGTGGAATATAGAGCATCGATTTCTCAAACATTTCTGCGCTTGTCTCATAATCCTTAGCACGGAAATGATCTGAAGCACTGTATAGAGCAGGAGATACCCAAATTAGATTCTCTCAGGAAAACACAACACAAACGATCAGTTGATGTGGCCAAGTTGAATCACTCAGTCAAGAGAGATGCAATACATTTGATACAAACATAAAGGCTGTAGTGTAATCACCGATGTAACCAAAAGAGATGAAGATCACATGAATGTCAAAAAACATACCTGTTCCAGAGAACAGAATGTATTGCCTTCCTCTCCTTAGTCACTGCTTCACCAGCAAATAGAGCAACAACCCTCTCGTCTGATACGAGCTGAGCCACAACGTTTGCCCTAATTCTCGAACCGTTATCTCCTCCCCTGCTCTCACCAAGGACCCGATGGGCAACTCTAAGAGCCGCCTTTGCGCTAACATGGCACCTTCCCAGCAGACCTAAGAACACACCCTTTGCGGTTTCCGCTCCAGCAGTCCCCACCACTTCAAAATATGCTTCCACAGCAGAAACCCACACTGCCTCTGGAATTTCTTTGTTTCCCACCATACCTCTCAGCTCCTTCTCTGCCTCGCTATGCTTCCCAAGTCCTAACCAAGCCTTCATCGCCAGGACAGGTAATGAAGCGTGTTGATCTGCAGCATCACTGGAATTTCCTCCATTCCTGAGAACTTTGACGCATTTGATCACACTCTCGTACTCTCCCTTTTGCAAATGCACTGCTGATATGAAACGGAGGGTTTTGGTTCTCATCACCGTCAACTCCATGGTGTCTTCCCGAGTTTTCGCAGTACTCAATCCCTTTTCACAAAGATCCAGCGCCTCGTTCATGAGTCTAAGAGCATCGTTTAGACTGCACGCATCGTCATCTCTGGACAAGGCGCTTTTACCAAACGCGAGGAATTGATTTGAGAGCAACTTGTAGTGATCCGGTGAACCAAACATCAAATTCTTGGCCCGATTGAGCAGCGTTACCGCCAGATTCCTGTCAGAAGTTTCCCAGGCAGTTCGAGATCGCGCTAGATTTAGATCCAGAAACAGTTTCCTCTCTCCGGCGTCGGATAATTTCCCGACATCAATTTTGGAGACGATTTCGGTGGCTCGCTCGAAGCAATTGGAGGCGAGATCGAACTTTTTAAGAGTGTGCCATACGAGACCAGTCCGATGGTAGAAGAGGGAAGACTTGATCGTCGGAGATGGGACACCGGTGACATCCCTGGCGAGAAATAGCATATCGGCGGCAACATGTCTGAGATTGGCGATGGTCTCGGCGGAGGTTGAAGAAGAGTGGAGAGTAGCGGCGTTGGAGAGATCAACACAGGCGTTCCACAGGCGAAAGCTAAGCTTCCATATGGAGAGCTTAAAGGAGTTACCGGGAAAGGGAGCGAGTTGACTCAGCCGAGTCAGGGATTCTCTGAGAGAAGCAGGTAGAGCTTGGGGTAGAGGCTGGTCTTTGGAAATGGCTTCAGATTGTTGGATTAAGAGCTCGATCTCGGAGAGAAGAGGATGCTGAGAGTGAGACTGGGTTTCCCGGTGAAGCAAGCGGAGGTCTGGGGTGGTGATCTCGGCGATTCTCATTATGGCGGGAGATATCAGAGAGAGAGAGAGATGGAATTGGGGATTTTGATTGAAGGAGTGAAGATATTTCGAAATTCAAAAGTTCCCCTGCGACTGTGAGAGCTACTAGCAAACAATCCAATCCAGTACGAGTATTCAACATTGAAGATATAATTCTAGTTACCTCTTGATTGGATGGGTTATTTATTGTGTGTTTTTGGCAAGAAAAAAGAAGTACATAAATACAACATTGAGATATTATAATTAATAGGAATTCTGAGTATTTTGTTTTGTTTTGGGTAGGGTTGATCCATAAAAATACTAAAATCATCCTTACACAGCAACACAAAGGAGGAAAATGAAAACGACTAAGAGAGAGGGGTTAAAGAGCTGCCACAAGTTAACACCATAGGGGAGTCACCATCACCTTTTTATCACTAGTGAAAGTAAGGAGGGGGAGGAGCCTGGTACTGATAGCAATTCCCATAGAAGTTCCCATGAGCCGCAGCAGGACTGAAAGTGTACGTCTGCGGAGGAGCTTGTGCTCCCATAATCGGACCGCTAAAGAACGGTCTGTTGTCATAAACATACTGCGGATACCTTTCAGGGATGACTCTACCATATCCTGTCTTGTTGCTGCTGTTGTTGTCACTGACTCGGGGTTGAGCACCACGCGGTCGCTTTGGCTGAGGCTTTGTGGTTTCTGTTGCTCTCTTTTTCTCTGCTTTGGCCTTCTCCAGCTGGACAATTCGTTTGTGAAGTGGCTCAACTGGGTACTGCTCTTCCAGGTTATGCTCCTCAATACACTTTATCACGGCTTTAAGCCCTGTAAGCTCTCGCTCATTGAACTCATCCTGCATTGGAACACACTCACATAATTGTATCACAAATCTCAGCCTGTATCTCAATCAGCAAGTACTATGATACATGATACACCTAAGAGTAATTGCGAACGAATGAATTCGTTTTAAGTTTCAAACGGCTTAGAAGTTTAAAATTAAAGATGACAGTTAGCTGGACAGAGCTCAGCGATAGTCCAGCAGGTAAGAGTTACTGGGCCAAAGAGCCAGGTGCTCAAGAAAAGTCAAGTTCAATCAAAGATCAGACCACTCGTGGAGGGTATTTTCTAGGCATTGATACAGCCCTTCATTTTCTTCTAAAAGTAATGTGTAAGGTAAGTTATCAAGTCAGGGAACACTTGCCTGAACAGCAGGAGATGCATTGACAGGTCTGCCTTGGGAGGAAGATCTCCTCGCCTCAGTCAAGTAGGATTTCAGTAACAAGACAGGTGGGAACTCTTCTGTGAGTTCAAAAGCAAATGCCAAGTTAACCGCATCAATATGTCTTCCACTGTTGACAAGAACTTCAATCACACCTGGAATAAAAGATGACCTAAGATCAATGGAAATTGGATGTCCACTAAAAACGTAAATACATAGCATTCCATGTCATGTTTAGATCCTTGGTTAAATATGAGTCCCTCTTCAGATAGATATTCACTAAATACCAAACCTCAATTTTCCCATCAACAAGTAATAAAATGCAAGATAATCCAGCTACGTCGTTAAAATTAGAGAACACACCAGGCATCTTTTCTGATAATCCAAGAGAACGGCACAGCTCAGCTGCCTGACGGCGACGTGAAACCATGGGTATCAGCCTCGAGAGTTCAGCCTCTTTGAAGTCGGAAACAATAGCAAAAGTGGCCAGTAGTTGCAGGAATGCATGAGCCTCCAAAGAATTACCATTGCAAGCATCCATGTCAAGAGCTTCCAGCAGTGGATTCCATCCTTCTGCAATAGTTTTTGCTCTGTGCTTAACATTTTCTGAGAGAACAGTACCAAGGGAGTTGGGGTCAAGACCAGATAACAGTATGCTCAGGCACTCCATCAACATTATACAGGTCCTGCGCATGCCCAAGAGGTTAGCATCTTTCTTTCCATCAGCGGTTGGTGCCTCCATGGGGTAAAACCCTTCCAAAGAGTCCAACACTAAGCTGGCTGGGTTTGCTGCAGCCTTGAGCGCCATAGGCATCTCCTCCTTTAGTGATGCAAGGTTCTTGCGGTTATCTGATACAAACTTATGGAGCCCTGTTGAGTCCATATCCCCACACAGTTTCAGCAACTGTGGATAAGCCTTCACCTCACAATTTCCCATCACAGGTGAGATGAGAACATCTTGCACAGTACCATCCGGATTATCATCAGTAATACCATCAGCAGCAAAGGCATTGGGTGAATCCCCTAGAGCATTTTGTGCCCAACCTTCACCAACAGAAGTGATACTAACGGGCTCTGCAGATGGAGCGTTGTTGTACTTATCCAAAGCACTGTTTATAGCAAACATGGCTGCATCTCTCTTCTTCTGAAGCCTTTCTAGCGACGCCTTCTCCTTGGCCTCAACAGCTGCCTTCTTTTTTTCTAATAGTTCTTGTGCTTTCCTTGTTTTGGTTTCGTACTCCTTTTCCTGATCTTCGAGCTCATGAAACCGTCTCTTCAAGGACCTCTCAAGCCCATGAAAATGCTCCTCAAGTTCCTTCCACTTCAGATTAAGTGTTACAGCGCGCTGGCTTTCTAGTTCAGCAAAGGCCCTCTGAAGCTGCTGAATCTTGGATGATGTAGAGTCCATGAGCGAAGCAACTGACCGGGTATCCTCCATCACGAACGAGCTAAAGAAGGTCGGAATTTCAGTATAAAGTAAAAAGTCTTGGAAAAAAAAATCAGCATGAAAACAAAGGATCGAACATTAGAGGCCAGCCAATCTCAATACTGCATAACAATCACACATGTCGCAGCGACATTATAATCACTTAATCATATTGTAGAGTATATTCTCCAAAGAGATAGGGAGCATTAAGAGATCAGGCACAAAAGGTTACCAATTCGAACAAGTCCAATCTCAAAGCTGCGAGTTACTCGGAAAAGGGCTCCAAGTTATCCGACAAAGAACTACAAAATAAATCATCAAAGACGAGGGGAATAAATATTAGTGATTTAGGAGCCCAGTGACATGTTCAATCGTTCAAAATTAAAAAGGAAAAAAAAAACCCAACAAAACTGTACAAGTTAGAGCGATGCGTGCAGACGAGTACACAAGAAACCTCTTAAACTCCACCGTTTCTACCGATTTAAGAAAAAATTTATATTCCTCAAGAACAAATCCGACGAATTTATACAAAAACTAAGCTAAAACAAGACGAATACAAAAGCGAAGAAGAAGATCCAGATTAAGAGAAGAGTCGATGACGAAATGGGAGAGGAAAAGACAGCTGATTCTGTGATATCCCCACTCAATCCGTCACTTGGAGAGCAAAATTCAGAGTCTCGAGAGAAAGTTGAGCTAATTTTGGGGAAAATAATCAAACCCTAGCTACAGTTAGACACAAAAACGAACAGCAAAAAAAGAGAGAAAACAACTTTACCCGGAAATATGAGAGAGGAAGTAAACACTGAAAGAAGAGATGAAAATCTTCAAGAAGCACCGGAAGATGGTAGATCCATGTTGAGCGACGGAGAAATCGGGTAGGCGAGAAGAGGAAAGTGAAAAATCCCTAGAAAAGGAAAGAGGAAAGTTGAAGGGAGGAGGCAGAAAAGCAAAGTGATGATATAATAACAGACACTTTCTTCCTTGGCACGTGACAGACTGGTTTGGTCGCTCCTTCCCCACCACACCCAGACGGAGTTGGCTCTAGCCAAGTCGGTGTCTGTCCTTTAAAAGTCTTAAACCCTTAGTCACGTGACTTGTAATTTACTCTTTACCCTTTTTATTTCCTCTGAATTCTTGTATATTCGTGCTGGGAGATTTGAAGGTTTTACCATATAATCCACCATGCTCTAGTCAGTCTATGAAGTCCCCCTACTACACCCATGATGAGTTCTTAGAAGCATCCTTTGGTTGCTGATTCTTTTATATGTTGTCAATGATATGAGATGAGCATCCTCTTTGAAAACATTTATTGGTTTTCTTCTTAATCGTTCTTTAGTGTACATTTTTGGATAAATTAGATTAGTTAATTTTCGGTTATTTTTATAACACATGCTCATTGTCTAATTTTTGGCATAAGTAATGAATTTTTTTGATAAATTAGAGACATAATGTGTCAAATGAAGCATTTTTATGAATCGGCCTAAGAAAATCATCCCAAACATACTTTAAGATAGTATATTCTATCGTTTTCGACTTCTCAAGTCAAAATCCTACGTTTCGTCGATTGCTCTGATCGTGATCCTTCTTTAAACCCTAGCATCGCCGGTGAATCTGAGTTAAGGTACATTTCTCCTCTTTGGACCATACATGTCTTCATATTCTCTGTTTGGTCGCCAATAAAACTCACACATTTTATGGTTTCCGATTTGTCATGTCTAAACTCGTCGATGGCTCCGATCGTGATCCTTCCTTAAACCCTAACATCGCCGGTGACTAAGAGTTGAGCTAAGGTAAATTTCTCTCTTCGGGTCCTACATTTATTCGTATTCTGTGTTTGGTTGCGAACAAAAACTCACGCAGTTTATCGTTTCCGATTTGTCAACTCTAAACTCAAAGTTTCGTCGGATCCTACATTTCTCTGTGTATTCTCTGTTTGGGTCCAAACGCAACTGTATTTCTCTCTCTCGGATCCTAATTATTATGTGTATTATCTGTTTGGGTTTATTTCTCAGTGTATGATCCTACATTTCTCTCAGTCTGGTAATGGAATTCTGTGTGCATCCAGTCTATTCATATGTGATGAATAATAATTGTGATGAAATCTTGTTATGGTTTATGGTTTTGAAAAGCTCAGACCTATTTGATAATTGTTGTTCAGATGGCGAGGAAGCCGAATTCGAATTTGAAGTGCAACCGGATCACGAAAAAGAATCATGACATGACTAAGAAGTCGGGGAGGAAAACATGGCCCATGATGGTTAAACCAACTTGCTATGAGAATATGCATCTATACTCGTCAGATGGGACTTGGAAAATGTTCCAGTCCCGCAAGGAATTGATCCGAGAGGTGTTAAGAAGCGCATGACCACCTTCACGTGTGATTATGGTTACCGGACGAGATCACGATCACTGTCGTTCATCCTTATTCACTAATCTAATTTGGCCAAATTGGAGATGAGTTTTAGGATATGCTTACTGTTGTTGACATTGTATGGACGAATTTAGAGAAAAAAAAACGCTATTGATCTGATTTTGGGATTCTTCTCTATTGGTGATTGATAGTTTGATAATTTGACGTTATATTATGATTCATCTCTTTTTGCAGGGATGTAGAAAACTACAGTAGCTCTAGGAGCACGTAAGCCATTTGCACGATCTAGGATTACGTCCACAACCGCACGAAAGGCCAAAGGAAAAACATCTCCCTGCACTGTTGTCAAAGCTACAAAGTGACCTATTTCTGACAAATAAAAATTTGGAATCTTTGAAAGTAGCATATGAGGATGAAAAGAATCCAATGACAAGTCAAGGATGCCTCTCTTTCATTGTTAACAAGAAATTCTTCTCCATGAGCCTCAACGAGCTATGCAATGTATATGGTTTCACATGCTGATCATGGACATCTTCTTTGGAGCACGAGAAAACCAGGACAAAGTAGGATTGTCAGCCCTTCCGACCATTTGTGATTCTGCAATACCATCTTTTTTGCATTGTCGTATACTATTTTCTTTATGTGATTCTGAGTTTTAGAAGATGAAGTTTTATTCTTATTCTTTTTTTGTTATAAAAAACCTGATTGAATAAGGAAGATAGAGAAAAAGAAAATGGTTTGATTTTAGTTGGATGAAATTTTGTTCGTCACCAAATCATCTTGTAGACCATGCAGTTTGATATATGACTCGTTTCTTTTGTTCTCTTAAGAAAGAATGTTGTTGTTATGGTTCTGCATGTGTACGATAATATTAATTTTGGGTTGTTGCTTTGGCCCGATCGAGCTCGTTGATATCCAGAACCGGCTGATCTCACTGTTTTTTTCATGTTTTGTTCTGCACATTAGCTCGATCCGACTACCAACTAGCCTGATTGGGCTAAGGCAACATATTAACCAAGAAGAAGAACCTATATGCGAGGAGATTCC